CCAATCAGATTTAAACTTAACGTCAACATTTACTGATTCGAGTTTCTCGTCTGTCTGTAGGAGAGGGAGGACGTCACCATCGAAGTGGCCAATGGGGAGCCAGGATGTCAGTACTTTGAGCAGCTCTACTACAACAACCACTGGCTCAAAGTTGGAGACTGCGTTTACATTGGCTCTCATGGTTTAGTGCGCCATCGTGTGGGCAGGTGGAATTACTGCATTTATAAAAGTTTTTTTTTTGTGAATTGTTTATTTGCAGTGAACTGTATAAAAATGTACAATTTAAAGTTACAGACACATTAAACCCCGTTTCTGTTTGCCTGTGGAACACAGGATTGAAAAAATGTGGATGCGGGACGGCGCCGGCTACTTCTTCGGTCCCATTTTCATCCATCCTGAAGAAACAGAGCACGAGCCAACAAAAATGTTTTACAAGAAGGAAGTGTTCCTCAGCAACCTGGAGGAGACCTGTCCCATGACCTGCATCATAGGTGCCGCACGGTTTCACCAGACTCTAAGACTGAATATTTGATCTGTGGTTCATCGAAACGTTTTTTCGTTCACAGGAAAATGTGTCGTGTCGTCCTTCAAGGACTACTTGTCGTGCCGTCCCACCGAAGTCCCCGAAGAGAACGTCCTGCTGTGCGAGAGTCGCTACATCGACAGTGAGAAGCAGATGAAGAAATTCAAGGGGCTGAAGCGCTTTTCAGTCTCAGCAAAAGTCGTGGAGGATGAAGTTTATTATTTCAGGTGAAAAACCTCAAAATTTGACAACCCTGATGACCTGGGTGACAGCTGTACACACTATATATGTATAGATGAATGTAAGTAATGTCACTCAGTTGATTTGAATTCTTTGACTATAAGGATGTATAATTTCCTCCTACAGGAAGCTCATCGTGCCACAGAAGGAGCCGTCGCCTCTGCTGGACCGGAAAATTGAGGAACTGGAGGCAAAGTTTGCCGATATGACAGATGAGGAGTTGGAGGACCTCGGGGACGACGACGGTGAGCTCGGGGACCACTCCATCCCTCAGATGCAGTCTTCCCTCTCCAGTGACATGGACATCATGCCGTACACTCCCCCACAGGTCGGTGTTTTCAGTCTTTTACTACGAAGCAGGCTGAACCGTCTTGTAGATCTGGTTTCACTTCCTCTGTGTGGGTTTTTGTGTTCGTCCTCCAGTCCACACCAAAATCCATTAAAGGTCTCTCAAAGAAGGAAGGCTCAAAACGGAAGATCAACATGAGCGGCTACATCCTGTTCAGCAGCGAGATGCGAGCAGTCATCAAAGCCCAGCACCCGGACTTCTCCTTCGGGGACCTGAGCCGCCTGGTTGGCACAGAGTGGAGGAACCTGGAGAGTTCCAGGAAAGCAGAATATGAAGGTGGGAAAGAAAAAAAAAACACACATGGTTTTTGGTTCTCGTGGTTTTTATGGCAACATTTCAAATGTTGTCTTGTCGTCGCAGAACGAGCAGCTAAAGTGGCCGAGCAGCAGGACCGTGACAGGACCCATCATCAGATGTCCCCAAGAGCAGGTACCCCAGTAGGGGCACTGATGGGGGTGGTGCCTCCCCCAACCCCCATGGGAATTCTAAATTCCAGCATGACACCTGTGTCAGGTAACCCCTCATAGATGCAGATGGATTTCCAGTTCTCCCTAGAAGGCTGGAAAAAGAAGCTGAACTGCCATTTTGGTTCATCTCTGTTTGCATGGGTGTAATGTTGCAACAATTTAATTAATTTTCTTTTTTAACTAAAGAGAGGTCTGGGTGACTTCAATATAAGGTCAAAATAAATAAATAAGGACAAACATATAAATCTGGTCCAATAAAATCACAGCTCCTAACAGTGAACAAGAGGAAGATGAACTGCACATTTGGCCTCTAACATGCTCATAATATTATTACAAGTACAATGCAACATTAACCACTCCCCCCCAAAAAAACATAAATAATGATCATACCTTGTACTTTTTTTAAATACAATAAACTAGTATAACAAAAATAGTCAAAATAATAGCAATGTAAATGTAGTATCTGATTTTAGTTTCTAAGTAAGACTTTGACAGTGGGGTAGTTTTGAGGAGGTTAGTTTCTAAGTAAGACTTTGACAGTGGGATAGTTTAGAGGAGGTTGTTGTTGTATTGCTCTTGTAATATTATTTTGAGCATTTGAGTTACACTTCTTCATGTTTTATTGCAGGGCTGTGTCCAAATCTTTGTTAAATCAAATAACAGAAAGCAGAATGTTAGCATCACCCATATTTCTCTTTAAAGATTTTATGTTATGTTAATAAGCCTGCACATGTATTGGTGTATATTACTACTAAAATGTTACCACTTAAATAGACTGACATTTATCAGTATTTGTTACGTCCTTTTAACACATTACATTGTTTCCATGGTGCAGTTGCCACGTCCATTCTGTTGCCTCGTTAGTACTAATTAACTGATCATTAACATAGCAATGCATGGCAACGTTGCATGTTTGACTGACGCATGTTGCCTCTGTGTTGTGACTCTCCCTCCTTTAGAAGGTATGATGGGTGTATATAGGTCAGCTATGGGCCCCCTGCTGGGTCACGAAGGCATGGTTAGTATGACTGGCATACCGCCTCATCATATGGGGGGGCCCGTCTTCCCCCCCCATCTCCTTCCAGTTATGCCTGGGTTCCTTGGAATGCCACACTTTGGTAAGAGCACTGTCATGGCCGCCCCGTCTGCACCGCAGTCGCTTCCTTCCTACGAATCTGATTTGCTGGAGGGGATACCTGAACCTTACCCAAATTCAGTATCCTATGAGCCGGAACATTAATTTTGGACTTCCGTGGATACATTTATACTTAGCACTCGTAGTTGATCCAATGTAGATTAATGATAGATCCAGTTACAGTGTTCATTTATGTGTGTTGTGTTCAAATAAAATGGACAATCATGTCGTCATGTGGATTGGTAACATTTGACTTCCCTAATGTTGACTACCTCAGGTGTCAGCAGGGAGGGAGGACCTGGATCAGGACACATTCATGGATCCCAGGTAATTTCTAACTCCCTACAAGATCTTCACTGAAATCCCAGGAAAGGCATCCAAATGTAACAAAACTCCTCTAAATCACGGTACATCTGGAAAAAAGAAAGTAATTCTTCTTATTTGAGCAAAAAAAAATCACTAATGATGTCATACTTCGTCAAACCTGCATAAAATACTATGAGACCCATCTAAAGTTATGTGCATCCACAAGTATCTGAAAATGAAGTTCAATATAAATTCAAGGCAGAGAGAAAAAAATCAATCAATTTCTTGTTTTTACTGTTAGATTGCCCCAGGGCAGCAGGCTCCACCTCCGTACCCAGGACAGGGGCTGATGGGACAACCTGCCCTCCAGCAACCGTCCACCCCGATGTTCGTGTCTCCACCAGCCAAGACACAACGGCTGCTTCATTCTGAGGCGTACCTCAGATACATAGAGGGCCTGACTGCAGAGTCGTCCACCATCAGCAAGTGGGACCAAGCGTTGTCAGGTTAGGATTGTGCTTGATTGTCTATGTTTTCAGTATATATGATATTATTTTAAGTGAAAAATATAAAGAAAGTAGTTGAACAGAAAACACTGACAGCAGCAGCAGTAATCTACTGGATTCCTCATTCAGCTCAAAAGCAAGATGTTCGTCTGACAAAAGAACAAGAGAGCAAGCTACCATCTCATTGGCTGAAGAGCAAAGGCGCCCACAAGACCATGGCAGACGCCCTGTGGCGACTGCGAGACCTGATGCTCCGAGACACCCTGAACATCCGCCAAACGCACCACCTGTAGCACGTTCACAGTTTGAGCCTAAACTCTGTCCCTGAACCTGTGAGACAGGACGCGGGATACGCTTGTTAAAAGTGTTTGATTTGTTTTGTGTCTCATTTCAAAAGTGTTTGTATTAAACTGCTTTATGTGTTGGAGCTGCTTTTCTGTTTAACAGTTCAGATCTATGTTGTTTTAAGTACTTTGTTGTTAAGACTGTCATTCTGTGATGGATGCCAACCATGATTTCACGATTAAATGTGAATTGTTCAGTTTGTCTTGTGATTTTTTTTGGAAAAGTGGAACTAGAGTAGCTGGAATCTCAATTATTAAGGAATAGAATAAAGTAAATACTGAGGATAATCCGTTAACTTTTAGGATGTCAAGTGTAACTGTAACTGTAGCTATAGAATTTTGGTATAATCACAATTCAAATATCGCCCCTTCTTTAAGGACTGAACTGAGTTAAAGAGAGTAAAAATAAAAACGAACAATATGGAAGTTTACCCCTAGAGGGTGCTGAATACTAAACTCCGCGTCTTTAATGTCGCAACAAAGTTATTTCTTTCTTTGTTGAACACGGACCGCTCGTCGATATCAACGATACAGTAATTTTTTAAATATACATGTAGTAAATAGTTGCGTTGTAAAGGGGTGTGTCTTACGGCAGTCCTGGTTAGTTTTGCGCACGCGCAGTCTACAAACCGCGCAGTTCCTTTTGCTCCACACATTTGAAAGCTGCCACCGTGAGCACGTCTGTGCAGCCTGTTAGTGTAGCAGCACCTCCTGACTCCAGCCCACTGCAACGGTAGGACACCTGACTGCTCTGACATTCACCGTCACTGAAATAAATGTACTACATTGAGGAAAAGTTGTTTGTTTCTTGTGAATACGTGTAGTTTGTTTTATTTTGTGATTAGCAAAAGTAACGTTAGCAGGCTAGCGCTAACGTTAGCCGGCTAACTTGTGTTGATGATCGGCTCTGGATCAGTCTATTCACTGAAACGTATCAGCGCTTTCCAACATGTACAACTAGTTGTTGACGTTGCGTTATTCGTTTAAAATAAAATAGGAATCTGAGACATCGACCGTGGTTCACGGTCCGGACGTTGTTTTAGCCGAACGCTGATTTTAAGCTGTTTATTTTACAGTGATTTGACTTGACAAGCTTTAGCCGGTTAGCTTTGACGTTAGGTTGCAAACCGATCTGGAATCAGCGGTTGAAATGCCTCTGATGTCAATGTAGCTATGATACTTGGCTGCTAACAGGCGAACATGAATGACACCCCAAATGTTATGAATGACTAACTGTGATTAATGACGTCAACCTCGGTGTAGATGGTAAGGTTTAATTTGTGACTTAAAACAGAGGATTTTTGTTCAACTTTGGGAAAAGTGCCATGGAGTTGTACGATTTAATAACACTGCTGTTTTGTTTTTTTTTCCTAGACAGACATCCGTGAACTCAGCTCTTCACGCCTGCACTTTTGAATATGGAACTAAATGATGGCAACCTTCAAACCCTCACCGAGTTCCTTCAGAAAACGCTGGACCCAGACCCAAACGTCAGACGTCCAGGTAATCAATACTATCAGAATGTACTCCAGCTGATCTGCCAATGAGTTCACAAGGATATTTACAGGGTTTGTTTTTTTTTTAATTTAATTTCTATTTTTTTTTTTTTTTTTTAATTTAATTTCTTTTTTAATTTATTTTTGTAGCTGAAAAGTTTCTTGAATCTGTGGAGGGACACCAGAACTACCCTTTATTACTGCTCACGCTGCTGGAAAAGTCCCAGGACAACGTGATCCGTGTCTGTGCTGCTGTGACATTCAAGAACTTTATCAAAAGAAACTGGCGCATTGTGAGTCTTTCTAGGAGCTTGTGTTTATTTTGTTTGTTTTTCTTTACATTCTAGATAAATCAATCTTGTTCAGTCTTTGTTGATCTTTTTCTGCAGCGCCCCCTTTTGTAAATAGTTATATTGAGTTTTAGTCATAAAACATTAGGCTTTCCTTAAGAAGAGGAAGGAGCTGTCAGTTTGAGGCCATGGCTTTACAGTGAACATTTACTAATAAGATCATAGTCCTATGAATTTGTAATCACATTTGTCAGTAAAAATAACTGCCTTGTATGAAGGTTAGACTTCTGTTCTGTTCTGTTTGCATTGTGTTGATATGTCACTGTTCTTACTAAAGGTTGAAGATGAACCAAACAAAATCTCCGATCAAGACCGAACGGCGATCAAAGCGAACATTGTAAATCTAATGCTGAGCAGCCCTGAGCAGATTCAAAAACAGGCAGGTTTCCACACACTGTGAATGTTTGATTTCAGCCTGAAATAAGACACTGATTCAGGTGTTCTCTGGCTCTCCACAGTTGAGTGATGCCATTAGTATCATAGGGAGGGAGGACTTCCCTCTGAAATGGCCCGACCTTCTAACAGAGATGGTCACTCGCTTCAGAAGTGGAGACTTTCACATCATTAACGGAGTGCTTCGTACCGCACATTCACTTTTCAAGAGGTAACGTTGACGATCTGAAGACGTTTCCTGTTGATTAAACATGATTTTTGTTCAAATATTTCACTTCTTTTTTGTTTTCATTCATTTCTAGATACCGTCATGAATTTAAATCAAATGAACTGTGGACAGAGATTAAACTTGTTCTGGACACATTTGCTCTGCCCTTGACAGAATTGTTTAAGGTTTGTAACAACAACAACAACAACAATTATAATATTAAAACAGTTATTATGTTTCTCTAAACCCTTTTTTTTTTAAATCCTACCATTCATCACAGGCCACTATTGAGTTTTGTCAAACTCACGCTACAGACGTCGGTGCCTTGAAGGTCCTCTTCTCTTCCCTCACACTCATCTCCAAACTTTTTTACAGCCTTAATTTCCAGGTCAGTGGAGTTCAATCATGTTGTTTAAATTGTTCTGTTCCATTCATTTTTCATTGGAAGTAATATCGTTAATAGATTATTGTAATAATAAAATAATTATAGTCAAATTAAATATTTGAATGTAGAACATATTCATTTTGCTTAATTAATTTCAGAGAAAATAATTTAATTCTGACTCACTGTTTCACATGGACTTTATGCTGGATTTTTTTTTTTTTTTTGTTTTTTTTAACAGGATCTCCCAGAGTTTTTCGAAGACAACATGGAGACGTGGATGACCAACTTTCACGGTCTGCTGACACTGGATAATAAACTTTTACAAACAGATGTGAGTTGTCTTTCTGTTTGAAAACTTCATTTTGTTCCTCAAACCTTTCATGCTTTACTGAGTCATTACTGTGTTTCCAGGATGAGGAGGAGGCCGGGCTCCTGGAGCTCCTCAAGTCCCAGATCTGCGACAACGCTGCTCTTTACGCCCAAAAATACGACGAGGAATTTCAGCCATATCTTCCACGCTTTGTCACGGCTATCTGGAACCTGTTGGTTTCTACTGGGCAGGAGGTCAAGTACGACCTGGTGAGGGCAGCGCCGCTTCATCTTTCTGTTTCTGTTTTGACGCCACTTCTCGGTGCACTGACCAACACACGTCACCTTGGTTTCAGCTCGTTAGCAACGCAATTCAGTTCCTGGCTTCAGTCTGTGAACGACCACACTACAAACACCTGTTTGAGGACCAGAACACGCTCACAAGCATTTGTGAGAAGGTCATTGTGCCCAACATGGAGTTTAGAAGTAAGTTGAAGTTTGGTTTGTCATATACACCATTAGTCTTAAACACAGCCGTTCTTTGTGACCAATCGGATTAGAAAAAAAACGTTGTTGAACCCGTCTGTCAATCATGTTCCGTCAGGTGCAGATGAAGAGGCGTTTGAAGATAACTCGGAGGAATACATCAGAAGAGACCTTGAAGGATCAGGTAAAAAAAACATATTTTGTCATGCCACACAATGGCAAAAATGTCAGTCATCAGGTTGCTGGTTCGATTCCCAGTCTTTCTGTATGTAGGTTGCATGTTCTCTTACCTTGTCTCGTCCTCACTCAGACATTGACACGCGCCGCAGAGCAGCGTGCGACTTGGTGAGAGGCCTCTGTAAGTTCTTCGAGGGTCCAGTCACGGCCATCTTCTCTGGCTACGTCAACTCCATGCTGGGAGAATACGCCAAGAACCCCGGAGGAAACTGGAAACACAAAGACGCCGCCATATATTTGGTCACATCGCTGGCGTCGAAAGCCCAGACACAGAAGGTGTGTGTTGAGTTTGAGTTGAACTGTGATGCATACATGAATGTACATGTTTAATTTGTGAATTATGTTGTTTTTGTTTTTTTTCCAGCATGGAATAACACAAGCCAATGAGTTGGTGAATCTCACAGATTTCTTTGTGAATCACATCCTATCCGACCTAAAATCCTCCAATAGTAAGAATCACTTTAATCACTTCACTAAGGCTGTCAAACATTCAAAGAAATTACATCTGATTAATCACTGTGCAGCTGTTAATTACTCGGGATTAATCGAGATAAATCCACATTCTGTAATATTAAAACATGTTTTCTTTTTCTGCTGGGACATATGATGCATATTTAGCAGCGGTCCCTAACCTTTTTTGTACGTAAGGACTGGTGCCGACAGTTACTGCTGACTAGTTATTGAGTTATCAGTAAAGTTTTTTTTTTAATCATTTTTTTGTTAAACTTCTGTTAGTATTGCAGTCTACATTATTACATTAGTTTTTAAATATTGCCAGATTATCTTTAATCTTTAGAAAGTAAATATGATGGGGTTCTCTGATATATAGTATAACTGTAAAAATGTTACATTCAGACAAAATATGATGGGGTTCTCTGATATATATAACTGTAAAGATGTTACATTCAGATGTTCTCTGATATATAGTATAACTGTAAAGATGTTACATTCAGACTGTCTAACTCTCACTTTTTTTTTGTCAGTTAATGAGTTCCCGGTGCTGAAGGCAGATGCCATCAAATATGTCATGATCTTTAGGAGTCAGGTATGAACTCTTTCCTTTATCAGATTAACTACATAAAAGCTGACATAAATGATCATCCAGGGTTTTTTTTCCTTCAGCTTCCAAAGGAGCAGCTGCTGCAGGCGGTTCCTCTACTGATCGCTCACCTGCAGGCAGAGAGCACAGTGGAACACACGTACGCCGCCCATGCTTTAGAGCGGCTCTTCACCATGAGAGGCCCCAACAACAGCACTCTGTGAGTCCCAGCTAACAACAGCTAAACGACTTCCGGTCGTTTCCTCCAAAGTTTCGCAGCACTCACCCGTCCAACGGTTCTGTGTTTCAGTATCACCCCTGCAGAAATGGCACCTTTTACTGAACAGCTGCTCAACAATTTGTTCAAGGCGCTTTCGCTTCCTGGATCGGCAGAGAACGAGTACATCATGAAAGGCAACTCCTGGTGTTCCTGCTCTCCGTCAGCGTCATGTTGTTGTTTTAGTTCCGTTGATCTAATTCTTGTGTTTGTGTTTCAACATTTATAGCCATCATGCGCAGTTTCTCCTTACTGCAGGACACCATCGTTCCCTACATCCCCACTCTGATTGGTCAACTCACTCATAAGCTCTTATTAGTCAGCAAGGTTAACGAAACCTCTTTATTATGTTGAGTGTTTGTTTTTTTTGCGAGGACGAAATGAATATTTGAACACTTTTCTCTCTTTTTCTTCATTTTTTTTAGAACCCCAGTAAACCCCACTTCAACCATTATCTGTTTGAGTCTCTCTGCCTGTCCATCCGTATCACCTGCAAAGCCAACCCCACCACTGTGGGCAGCTTCGAGGAGGCGCTCTTCCCCGTCTTCACTGAGATCCTTCAGAACGATGTGCAGGGTTGGTGGAACAATTCAGTGTTGGAAATCTTTAACATTTTATTTTGTGTCTGGTGAACAGGAGAATCTCATCAGCTTCTTGTTGTGTTTTTTTCGTCAGAGTTCCTTCCGTACGTGTTCCAGGTGATGTCCCTCCTCCTGGAGATCCACTCCAACTCCATCCCCTCCTCCTACATGGCTCTGTTCCCTCACCTGCTGCAGCCCGTTCTCTGGGAGCGTTCAGGAAACATCCCCCCGCTGGTGCGGCTGCTTCAGGCCTACCTGCAGAAGGGAGGAGCCTGTATCGCCAACACCTCCGCAGATAAAATAGTAAGTCATGACGTGGAGGTGTGTGTGACACCGACAGTCAGGTGGTGTGGACCTCAGCCTGTGTGTAGCTCAACAAACTAAACATTACTGAAACATTTAAAGCCAGATTAAAATGATGTTGGATTAGAGTTAAAACACAAACACAACCTGATCTGAGTTTGTTTATTTCCTTGTACTTGACATAAAACTGTATTCTTGTTTCGCCTCCTCAGCCTGGCCTGCTGGGAGTTTTCCAAAAGCTTATTGCCTCAAAGGCCAACGACCACCAGGGGTTTTATCTACTCAACAGCATCATCGAGCACATGCCCCCGTAAGTCTGTCGTTCTACCTCAGTTGATTTTTATTTGTTTTGTTGATGTCTTTATTCACAGTTGTGTTTTTTCTTCGTCCACTCAGAGAGTCCATCATTCAGTACAGGAAACAGATTTTCATTCTGCTCTTCCAGAGGCTTCAGGGTTCCAAAACTACCAAGTTTGTCAAGAGTGAGTACTGTCACCTCACTGTGTGTGGAACGAGTGATTTTCTTTTTTTTTTCCCAACACTTTTCTATCTAACTCTAACATTAAATCACGGTTGTCGACCTGTTTTCCAGGTTTCTTGGTGTTTGTCAACCTGTACTGTGTCAAATATGGAGCTATCGCCCTACAGGAGATATTTGACAGCATCCAACCCAAGTGAGAGGATATTTAATACTTTATGTTAACAAAAGTACTCTGTTGTGGTATTTATACTACAGTACATTTATACTGGCTGTAACTATATAAATGTGCAAAAAAACATTTCAAAAAAAAAATTTTTTTTTGTTTTTCTTGTTGCAGAATGTTTGGTATGGTATTGGAAAAAATAGTCGTTCCGGAAGTGCAGAAAGTTTCTGGTGCGGTGGAGAAGAAGATTTGTGCTATTGGTATTACTAAAGTACTCACAGAGTGTCCTGCCATGATGGACACGGAGTACACCAAAATCTGGTGAGGAAGGGGTCAAAAATATATCTGCACTTCAGGGTCAGAGTAAAAGTACTGCGGTGGTGATGTTTTCGTGTTTCTCTTCAGGACTCCACTGCTTCAAGCCCTGATTGGTCTGTTTGAGTTACCAGAAGATGACAGCATCCCCGACGACGAGCATTTCATCGACATCGAGGACACGGCCAGCTACCAGACGGCGTTCTCACAGCTGGCGTTCGCAGGGAAGAAGGAGCACGATCCCATCGGAGATGCCGTGGGGAACCCTAAACTCCTGCTGGCCCAGTCTCTCCACAAACTCTCCACCGCCTGTCCTGGAAGGGTAGGTTCTCCGACCACAGGAGGAACGCCGTCACCAACGCCACCTCCTTCATTCTGTTCCTTCCTAAAATGTTTTCACCAACTCTCTCTCTCTCTCTCTCTCTCTGCAGGTTCCGTCCATGCTCAGCACCAGTCTGAACGCTGAGGCCCTCCAGTATCTGCAGGGGTATCTGCAGGCGGCCAGTGTGCAGTTGGTTTGATACTGACAGAACGGACGATGGAACAGTACTGACTGCAGTACACAGACGGGAGCAGCCACAGAACAGCCTGGGTCACATGACCCACCCCACAGACCTAAGTCTTCATTTGGCTATTTGATGGATTTACTTGAGAAATCATAAAGTTATCAGAAGTCATTTTAAGGCTTTTTCTTTTTTTTTAAAAAAAAAAAGACATGACCAAAAATTCAGTTTCATGTTTGGACTTGATGTGGAGCAAAAGATAGAACGAGATATCATGACGACGTTGCCGTGTCGATGTCAATTCAATAAATTACAACAGTGGTGGCAAATGGAGTCAGTGTTGTGGAACATGACCAGCTGATGGAAGACGATCACATCGGAATCATTTCATTTTTGTGTGTGTGTGTGTGTGTGATACCAGTCTAACTCAGCCCTTATTATTTTTGTTGTGTGTGTGTGACTCATTGCTTTTTATGGATACCAGTCTAACTCAGCCCTAATTATTTTTCTTTGTTTCCCCCGTGTAGATGTTTGTCTAGTCTTATGTTTCAGCACTGTTTGTTAATGTGAATAAAAAAGGGATGCACTTGTTTATATTTTTGGGTGATTATGAAACTAACCGACCGTCAAGTTGGCAGTTATTATGTCTTTATTGCTAATTTTCACAACAACAACGAAACAAACAGTGTTCGGGTCAAGGTCGGTCCATCACTGAAGGCAGGTCAGGAGGTCGTGATGTGGCCGTTAGCGGTTTTTGTTTCAACGTGCTTAATGAAAGGTAGCATACACTTGTCTCCACCCATGAAGCGATACGTCACCACATTTGCCTCCCAGGGTAACAGCCTGTAGGTGAAAGGTCAAAAGAGCAGCATTAATGCACGTCTTCGTCTCATTTTTCTACTGAACGCGTTTCGTTCGCTCAGGTTGTTCCTTACGCTCGGGCCAGGAAGGGGATGTACATGATCCGAGGGATGCAGATCATCTGTTGTTCGGCGAGAATGGCCTTCATGGACTGTTGGACGGTGTAGAGAGGCTGAAGAGGAGGGATTAGACTCTTCAGCTCCTTCCTGGAAGAGATTTTTCAAAATAAAATACATTTGAAGTTGTAACGAATGGAGGGAAAGGTCGAAGTGATGCGGACGTTCTCTCACCTGATTTCACAGCCTGCGAACATCCCCGTGTCGATGAGGTAAGGACACACGAGAGTTGTTTTTACACCCTCTATGTTTTCTGCCATCAGTTCGTGAGTCAGCGACTCGTGGAAACCGACGGCTCCAAATTTACTCGCACAGTAATCCTAGTTGTTGATAATATAAACAAAGGAAAAAAAGTCTGGTTAGTTACAGCACGGTAGTTTTGACTCACCATTAAAACACAACCTGAAAACCCGACTAATTATAAGCTTAAATAGAAAGATCACGAGACGAGAGAAATTAGCGTCAAAGGTCAAGGTCTGGGGGGGAACCTACTGCTGAAGGTATGTGACCTTTGACCTGGAGGGTGGGTTTAAGTTCATTTCCAAAAAACAGACTTTATTTTTTTAAAGGTGAAAATTTGTCTGGAACATCTATGAATGTGACTTGTGATTTTTTTTTATTTACCTCGACACATGCGGTGCTGAAGAGTCCAAGAGCGCTGGCCACGGTAACGATGTGACCGTGGTTGTTTGCTTTCATCTGAGGCAGGAAGGCTTTCGTCATCTGGTGAAGAAAAAACCAAGTCATGTTCACTGTCCACCTGCTCAGTGAATGCCTGTTTATTTAGAGCTTAACTTTATTCTATTGTTGAAACACGAGACTTCAGCTCTAAGAGGATCAGGCACAAAATCACATGCTGTGCTGAGATTTTAATTTTCTTTGTCGGAAGTTGACGTAACCAACTCCAATCACCGTCTGAATGTGTTGGAGTTAGACGGTGCAGATGATGCAGAGTTAACCTTTGAAGTTAACTCTATGAGTCGACTGAACTACCCTCAGTGTTTTGACCAATAAAGTTAATTGTTCTATAATTCATGACGACTTTAACTCTAACCTGGATCTAAGATGTTGGGTTCTGCATAATCTGGACCAGATCCAGACCCAGACCCGGCATTTGGTCCTCACACGTTCACTATTCATTTAGTAATGTCTGTGATGAATCCTTTTGTGCTGTGTCACAGTCTGATCCCTTCACACACCACTGAGCAAACACAGCTCACAGCACACACTCGTCCTCCATCAGGGGATGGACGTTACATAATCCTGGTCAGACTGTGACACCGCATCATCTCCGTGACTTTAAGGCACAGATTTCACAAACGTGTCCGTCAGGTCTCACCCAAAAAAGTGCATGACAGTTGACCAGCAGAGTCCTCTCCAGGATCTCGTCAGGACAGTCCAGCAGCCTCCGCCCGGCCACCACTCCGGCGTTGTTGACCAGTATGGAGACCTCCCCGACCTCCGCTCTCACCCTGGCCGCCGTCTCGTAGATGTTCTTGCGCTCGGACAGGTCCACGGTGTACGCGTGCACCTCTACTCCCGTCTCCCGCGCCAGCCGGGCCGTTTGCTCGTTGGCTGCGGTGTTGCAGTCCCACAGCACCAGGTGCGCGCCCTCCTTGGCGAACTCCAGGGCAAAGTGGCGACCCAGCGCGCCCCCGGACCCCGTGATCAGACACAGCTCCCCTTCGCCGCCGCGGTTGCAGGAAAGTCTGGATCACCGCCGTCACGATGGAGACGGTCAGGTCGATGAGCATCAGCAGGAGGTCCACCAGAACGATCATGATGCTGCCTGTCCCTCCGTGCCCTGCAAGAACTAAATACCCTCACGGGCAGAGAGCCAAGCTGTGGAGTGGATGTGTGTCTGCGTGACGTGAAGTGCACGGGCGGTTTATATAACAACAGAGTGAGGGATTAGGAGGTCGACTTATGGTGGTCTGATGAATGAGGAGGACTGACTGTAAGACACTTTGACACACTGTAGTGAGGATTAATGCAGCAGGTCCTAAGACTATAAAACCAGACCAGGTTTTATATTTACCAACATGGACTCTGTGAATCAGATGTGTTCACTGTATGGATGTATAATTCTGTCTTTTTCCTACGGGGCTCTTCAAACTCCATGGGGTCTGCGCAGGTACTGCAGGGGGATACGGCAATTTCTGATCACGGGACAGTTGTATGGAGTGATAATCATAGAACTGTAAATTATAAACCCCACTTATTATACCTTGCAAATGTTAAAAAATACCAATATCTGAACCTGGGTATCGTAGCACCAATAGCACCGAAGTCGATTCCTACTTTGGGAGAGAGTCCCTGCCTCAGTTTAAGGATCCTGCTCTGGAAATACATTGAAGACCTCTTCCTTGTTTGTCAAGAACACAAACTATCATAATAAAAAATACAGAAAGAAAAAGAGTTGTTGTTCTCCTAGCATACAGGAACATTAAAACATTCAATCTGACTTAAAGGTGTTGAATTCAGCATCAAGTTTTTGTTTAGTCCACGACTGTCCATTTCAGAGAAGTCTTTTAACAACTAACTTTCTGACTGGGTTTTATTAGTCACTTTTGAGTTAGTAATCCTCTAACGAAGTTCACAACAGACAAACATTCTTGTAAGAACGAACGAACACCGATGGGAAACAAAATGCCGAAACCCGGGATTGAACCAGGGACCTTCAGATCTTCAGTCTGACGCTCTCCCAACTGAGCTATTTCGGCAGGTGAGAATGTTCACTGTACAATCCGGTAGTACTACTCTATGTATGGCGAATATAAGCGACTACAGAAAAGGTGAGCTCTGCGACGTACGTCACTATTTCAACTTTTTAACTAAGTTTGTGTGACATAAAGTGAACAAAAATGTTTGGAAACACTGGCGGTTAACATGACACTGGTTATAAGAAATGAAAAACACACGAACTTTGCTTTATTTTGTCTTAACACGCGGCGTTAGCCTTGTGCTACATGTTCGCATACAAACTTTTAAGCTAGTAAAAGAGCTAGTAAGCATGATTTAGATATAGATTTTTTTAAAAATCCTAACATTACGGAGTATACAGTAGTATACCAAATATTACTATAGTATCAGCAGTAAATATACAGAAAACAAATAGAGGTTCACGCTGTTATCTCTTAAATCCACTCCCTGGACGTATTTGTTTGGATATCTACTATCACATGATTATCTTATGTATTAACTCTGGTGTTAACGGTACCGTATTTAAAAAATATTTTGCTCTTGTATGGTGTTTTCATTGTAATGTGTTATATGATATCGTATTGTATCGTGTGTTATCGTATCGTAACGTATCGTATCTCTTCTCTTCTCTTCTCCTCTCATCTCCTGTATTTAAATACTGCACATATTCTAAAGTCAGTGTACATTTGCCTTTTCATTCTGTCGTTTTTACTTCCCCTACAGGACATTTGTGTCCAGTATTTAATTATAGACTGATCACGTGTCATGTGGACATTCCTTTCATCTGCAGAAAGTTATTTGTGATCCCTGTTGTGAAGTGGCTTATCCATCTTACTGAAATGTTAAGTTGATAAACTACTTAGCACATGTGCACAAATCTCCAATTCCTGACATTGTTTTCTTTTCGCTACATGAAATAATTCACAGTTTTTCCGATTGGTTCTTGACCTTCAGGATTTCATAATTCAGATCAGGTGAAAAGGAGAATTTAAAGATGGGTTCTGTCTCTTAAAAAAAACATCTCAGAGTAATGTCAGGCACCGGCTGTTGTGTAATCCTCGCCAACACATGGTCCTGATGTAGTTATGACCATGTGTCACACAACACATGGTAATCTGTCATCTGCTTCTGTGAGCTATTCCTGCAGTCAACGGTTCATTCCCTTAAAAAAAAAAAAAAAAACCTCAACCACATCAGGTGGCATTTTATAAATGTACATTTTAATGGTGTTGTCACAGCCGGATGTCAACACTTCATAATTCATAATCTGCACACGGAAACCAAGAATAGTTACTGGATAAACAGAAAGAAAAAACTAACCTTGGATAAATAGACCTTCTAACTGTTTTTATCTTTAAAAATCAAATATTAACTGCACATAGTTTAACTTTGCAAAAGCTTTTTGTTTATGAGTTGATTTGTTTTTTGGGATGGGATACATTTTTTGTTCCTTTTGGCTAAAGCACAATCAGACAGGTTGAGTAAATACTGTATATTTACATTTTTTGTGCAATGTTAGACAGAATACCGTGACTCTGTCACTGTAAGAAACACACCGCTAGAGTGTGCTGTTGTTCTATATATCACGCGGCTCCACTTCGTCCTTATGAGGACGTTTCTGTTTTTAGCATTTAGTGAAAGACACACAACAATAGACAGGTAATAAAATAGACTCCACTGGTTCAACTCTGTAGTATCTTCATTTATTAAGCTTCAGTCAGAAAAAAATGCTTTAAATAATTCGTAGACTTCTCTCCCTACATTATCTCAGTTGATATTTACAAGCTCAGAGTGACGAAGGTCCTACCGATGCTACATGCGATAATGAATAGGAAAACCAACATTCTACAAAGTCAAATGGTACAAAGAACCAAACTCTACAGAACAAACGTTTCCTCAGACACAGAACAGGCAGCAAACAGACGCGTGTTGGTTCTAAGGAGGAGTTTCATAACATGACGAGTCTCGGAATTTAAACGTCTGTATTTGGCTTTAACATCTTGTGAATTTCATTGTGCTGAGAGATTATACTTGGAATTTGTGCTTTTTTTACCAGCTGAAGGAGAGAATTTTGGTGCAGGGAATTAAAGAAGGTGCAGTGGTGAAAAACATTAAAAATAAGGACCCGATAAAGTTCATCCATTCAGAGAAAAAAATCTTAAATTGGACTTGTTTTTGAATGGTTTTTGATTATGCAAGGCTCCAAACCTCCTCTATTTTTACACATCAGACTTTATAGTGTGACAAATATAAATAAATCTTTCCTTTTCCCTGTGAAACATCATCTTTCCCATATGTTTTATCTACACATCGGCTCTTGTTTGTTTTTGTAGAGTCTGCTGTGAGCCCGGAGAGCCTCATGTTTCTTAGAGGACTTTTATTACAAAGTTTGTTCCTTGGGATTCAGTGACATCGTCTGACCAAAGACATTCCTGTAACTGAGCTTTCACTTCAAGCTCAAGACGGTATTTTTAGAACTGCAGAAATGATCACTTCCTCCGAAGGATGCCTCAACCTCACCACTGCTTCTGCTTTGTCATTCTGATAAAAAAAACCCCAAAAAAACAAACAACCTAAAGCTGGAATAGTAAAAAAAAAACCAGTGTTTTGAATTTTTAGTGTATAAACTTTAACAATGGGAAGACAAAAAAGTCCTAAGGATTTTAAATACTTTTTTAAATTTAGGACAATAATGAATCTTTTTCTCAACATCTTTTCCATTTAAGTCTAAACACTGTCAGCCTTCCTTTTATTACGGAATTCCGTCTTTGTGGATTTCTGGGTGGTGTCTCTCACACCAGGCCACATCCTGCTTTTATGCCTTTTAGAAAAAAATGCAAAAAATATCTGTTAATTGTAGCTTGTTTTAACAAGAGTCCTTTTAAGTTAGGGCTAAAAAAACAGTCAAATAAAACGAGCTCTGTTTATATATGTATGGTGGTAAAACTGGTCCGAGCCGTTCAGACGTCTTAGCGATGAATCTTCACATGTTTTAATTATTCAAATCTGACTCTAGTGAAATTCTATCACCAGTCTTGGAACTGTTTGACTAACCCATGCATATGCCGTAAAAACACAATCTTCTGTGACCTTTTTAAAGCCTCTTAACTAAATCTGCATGATGGTGAGATTTTCCCATTTAAATCACAAGGTAGTGCAGAGAAAGGGGGCGCTCTATTTGACTTCTGTTCACTCATGCTGGTTCTAGAGCCCTACATGAAATGTAAAAAAACAAAACAAAAACAGGAACCGTCTAACAGTATAATACGGGAATGAGATTGTTCATGACAAAATAGAACTATTAGCTTGTTTTCCAGTAATTATTATCAGAGAACAGAGAACTTTAAACCCGGGTACAAATGTACAACATGTACCTGTTATTGTTATTACTATTATTACTATTATTTTACAAATGTTTGGCTGTTTAATATGGCCAATAAAATCCTTTTCCTGAAAAAAGCCTGAGGTTTGTGAACTCACCCGACATCATACGTACACGGGTGAAGTGATCTGAACCACAAAGTCTTGAAATGACACATTTAGACCTATTGATGGAGCCAGAGACGCACGTCACAGTCTTAAATCTGAAACCTGGTAATACAATTAAACCTCTTAGACACAAACAAAAAGGGTTGTTGGTTCACTGACAGACAAAGGCTGATCATCAGTGTACTGTAAAGTGCATTACCAAATAGCAGATAATGGCTTTTTTTTTTTAACGCTCCCTTTCTGAAAAATGGACTCAGTGAAACCACAGCTGTTCTCTCACTGCTGGTTCACAGAGAAACACTGAGAACAAGGACAATCTACAGCATACGTGATGGGTGTCAACCCCAAGCCCGGGGGGCCAAATGTGGCCCGCCAAGCCATGTTGTGTGGCCCGCGGGAGCTTAAAAAGCATTTAGTAAAAGCCCATGCAGCAGAGTTTCTTAGCCTAAGAAATTAAAAGTTTTTATAATCAATCAAATAGTAATCAATTGCAGAAACATGTTTTAGTCTGTTACGACAGACCGGTAGCAAGGTGTAAATGGATATGACTGGATTTTTTTTAGCGAAGTAAATTAGTAAAAATTAAGTACATTTTTTTGTTCCATTGTGTCCCACTGCGGCCCGGTACCAAATAACCTATGGACTGGTACTGGTCCACGGACCAGGGGTTGGAGACCCCTGATCTTTACAGTCTTCCATTTACAACCGGCCCTTCAAGGGGAACTGTACGGCTGATGTGGCCCCCGGTAGAAATGAGTTTGACCCCCCTGACCTACAGACTCCCACGGCTCCCTCTCTCCCTCTCTCCCTCTCTCTCTCTCCCTCCCTTCCTCTCTCCCTCCCTCCCTCCCCTCACTCCCTGCATGAAAAACCACCTCAACTAACATCACGTGACGAGTTCATCGACAACATGAAGAGATATTTTGGACGCGTGACGAGGAAAGCCGAGTAATAAATGTCACTTGTAATCAGGCTGAAAGCTCTGCTGCGCCGCCCTGTTGGTCACACGCTGTTTCTTTTCTTTTTTCTTTTTTTTGATTCCATTCACATTTCACTCTCACTCTCTTGGTGGCAGAAACTCGTGTGTCATCTGCTCCATCTGTCATTGGTTACAAACCTGCGAGTGTTGTTTATATGCATGTGCAATAAAGTGTGAAATTAAAGACTGATTAATGAATGTGTCCCTGTCTAGGTTTTCCCGCTCCCGCTGCACTCGCCGTCTTCAGTAATCCTGGCTGAAGCCACAGGTGAACAGAAAGATAAAAGTTGAAAGGACGTGTGAGTAGAATATCAACGGTTCACAACGTGCTGCGGGAGACTTTAACAACTCCATCACTGCACACGATGGGACTTGTTTGCATCACATGTGGGAAAACCCAGCTGTCTAACCTGTCACCATGGAAACGGTGTCTGCCCCAGTGTGTTCAGCCTGTTTTTGTTTTTCATGCAAATGTTCAGTGCAGGTATGTGAAGCTGCGAAGGAAAAAAAAATATTTTCACGAGGCAACGTCGAGAGAGTCAGGGCGGAGGAAGTTACATGTGAAGTCAGAAATAAGGGTTTCTGAAAGTGAGGGTCGTGGCCCAAAATACCTGTATTGTCCAAGAGCAAGATGCTTTATGCAGCCTAGGATGCATAACATATACTTCCTGTCAAACTTTAATGGGTATAATGTAGGTAAAGCTGTGGGGTGTGTCATCAGCCGGGTCATTTAACTGTCAATATTTTCTTTTTGTTTTTGACTAATTTATGCAAAAAAAATTCACGCTTTTTAGTAGCTGTATCAAAGAGTGTCGTTCCAGTTTTGTCATGATTCTGTTGGAGTACAGCTCCACTGATAACCTGATGCTCAGCACTATGGTCCCAGAAAGGAAAGTGTGAAAACCCGCACTTTGACATGTAGACATTCACAAAAAAAAAGTAGCAGAATAACTTCGTCTAAATCACAGTAATCATAACAGTATCATAACAGTATTCACCAGAGCAAAATCGTAGTGGACTTGTACTTTTGAATCTGTACATATGTCGATGATGTGGTTATTTCCTCTTCATCTTTTCAGATTTGTACTTTTGAATCTGTACATATGTCGATGATGTGATTATTTCCTCTTCATCTTTTCAGTCACGTCACGTCATGTGTACTTTGTATATTTGACGTTTCTAAAAAAGATATCGCAGGTAGTTCCTATGGAAATGATTCCGTTGTTAAACAAAAACACACTGAGATCGAAGAGCGAAACGTACAAACATCTGTGCGACTGATCGGAAACAACTGTCCTTTGGTTCTTCTCAATACAGCAGAGAAAAACGGAAAGAGAAAACTGGGGCTAATACAACGGTACCGGAACTGAACGCTAACGCTAACCAAAAAAAACGTGTGCCTTTCAAATGCAAAATGCAAATCTAAAAGATTCCATTCTGTCCATGTCTGTTAGAAAACAATCTTAAAAATATAAAATATTTGAATTCTCCTCCTGTGACCGCCCACAGTGAGTCTTCGTTATATTCTACCTTTGAAGTTTAACATCTACAACATTGATAATTCCCTCAGACACAGAAAAACCTGGTTAGTTCAACTAACTGGACGACAACGACAAACTCATTTTGAACATTCCTTTTTTCCCGCTTTAAAAACTATATCATTCTGAGCAACACACACACACACACACAGACACACAAAACTAACAACCACGATACATTAAAGAACAGATTCAATCAGTTTCTTTCTTCCTGGTGCTCGTATTTAAAGTACTAATAAGTTAAGGTGCGCTCTCTCTCTCTCTGTCTCTCTCTTTCTCTCTCTCTCTCTCCGAGCACAAGGAACAAAGGAGAAAGAGTGGACGCTTGCAGCCGTGTGTTGTCTGTGCAGTAGAAAAATATCAAGGAGCGAGACGTCGCCACGACGTGTCGTCGACGGACAAACGCGCTCCTCGTCTCCGTCTCCTAAAACCTGGGAGACGACTTCAGCTAAGGCCAGTTTGTAGGAGTTAAAGGAAGTAAAAGATAAACTCTCACCAGGTTTTTAATGCCATCGTTTTTTAAAGATAAATATAATATTCACAACTACTATTAAAATAAATATCCCCCCCCCCCCGGTGTAGTGGTTGAAAGTGGAACTGTATGTGAGTGTGTTTGGAGTCTGCAGTGCTAAGTCCACGCCGTGTGGTTTGCTACTCATTAAAACTGCTATTGGCTTTGAACCGGGATAATATAAAAATATTTTTTTGAATTATTCAAACAAACAAACAAACAAACAAACACATTATATTCTGGCTTTATAACATCTATGCAGAAACTGTAACGGTGTTATAGGCTAAAATGAGGAAGTGCAGTTTATAGGTTTCAGAAATGAATGCATACAAAGGTCAGATGTTGGGCCGCGACGGTTGTTTATAAAAACCTTTTTGATCAGAATTCCGTATCAACGATGTTCTCACTCGCCTGATTCCCAGAAAAGTTGGTACAGTTTTCTAAAAATGCAGTTAAATCTGAGGTTCTTCGGTTTAGTAATTCACTGGAACCTTTGTTGAACGTTTCATTTTGTTTCTGTTTTTAATTTTTTGGTGACCAAAAACATGCACATTACCTGATAATAGTTTAAGACAGGGTCTCAAAGTCACGGCCCGGGGCCCCACTTATGAACTGTGAACCCCCAAAATCCGGCCCACAACTAGATGTCACTAATGACTAAATCCTCGTCACTGCAGTTAAACCTGCTTCTGTTTCAACAGTGAAAACATTCAAAAATCTTATTGACTCATAAAAAAAAATGTTCAAGTTTAACTGCATGTTTAGAAAATGTACCAGATCTTCTGATGATGGTGGTTTGTTTGTATCTAATGCTGTTAGTTTTTCCGAGGAGGTGTCTTGTATCTTACTGCTTTTCTTTTCTCTTCGTAAATGTCTTCAGTGCTCGTCGTCTATATGTGAAGGTCAGTATCGTTCACCCCACCCTTCCACCCAAAAGTGTGTCTCCTCTCTGCTCTGTCTCTGGTTGTAACCTTTAAGCATCATGTTGTCTCTTTTCTCCCTGAAGCGGCTGAAGCTCCTGAGCCACGTGGTTTTCCTGCCCCTCCAGGGGCAGAGTGCTGTTACCCAGCTTCCTCCTGGAACCCTCCTTGTGGTTGAACCCCCGCTGGAAGCCGGAGTGATGGCCAACATTGAGGGGGTACCGCTCCAGGAGTCTTTGAGATGGGTTGGTGCCCGAGCCGTCGTGCAGGTGCAGCTCTTCCTCCTCCTCCGTGTCAGCGTCGATGAACCGATTGATGGACGCATCGTGAAAGGTGAAAACGCCGGCGCGTAAGTTCTCTGGACTCTTGGTGGGTGTCCGGCTGCTGGCGGTTGTGTAGACGGATATCTCTGGGCTCTGGACTGATGAACTGTCGGAGAGGACGGCTGCAGCCAGCTCCTCACTCCCTCTGAAGCTGACCTTCAGCAGGTGCCTCTTGTGGGGGTTGCTGGAGCGCGAGCCCCTGGGGCTGTCAGAATACGGACCCAGCTTGAGGCCTCGTCCCGTGTGAGGTGAATTAGTTCCCTGAAATGTTTCAAGCTCATTCTCCAGGCTAGGGTTGGTGGCGACGCTACCAGCGGTATTGCTTGTGGGAGTGTGGGCAAAGCGAGAACCCTCGGCAGCTTCGGCGCTGCAGCTGAGGAAGCTGTCGATGCTGGACATGCTCCTCATATCAGTCACTATCTCTGCGGTGCTCAGTATGGCGTCAGGTGCTATGTATCCCATCTCAAATTCAGCTCCGTGCCGGACCACTTTGGACGGGGGGCCTTTCTCCTTGTTCTTGAGCTCGGACTGTGACTGAGTCTTGGCCATCTCGTTGTACGTCTCCTCCAGTTTCTGCGCGCTGAGGTGCTGCGGGCTGCTGCAGGGCTTTACCTGCTCAGGAGTCTTCACGGGGCTGTTGGAGCTACTTTGTGGCTTTAGTTTGGGTGTCCCCTTTGTTATGCTGGGGGACACGTGGTTATCGTGCTGCTTGTCCTTCTTGTCGTCGGACTTTTCCACCATCACATCGATGAGTTCTGCGCTGCGGCCGAACGCATCTTTAAGGTTCATGGAGACGATGCTGCCGTTTCTCTTTGCGCGCTCCAGGGCCTCCCTTCTCTTGATGGCTTTCTCCTGCCTCTTCTGCTCTTTATAGAATTCAGAGAAGTTATTTACAATAATAGGAATAGGCAGAGCTATCACGAGTACTCCAGCAATACAGCACAGACCCCCGACTATCTTTCCCAGTAAGGTTTTAGGGTAGATGTCGCCGTAGCCCACCGTAGTCATGGTAATGGTGGCCCACCAAAAAGAAGCTGGAATACTTTTAAACTTCGTGTCCTCTTCGTCTTTTTCCGCAAAGAACACCAGACTCGAGAAGATCATGATGCCCATGGCCAGGAAGAGGATGAGCAGACCCAGCTCATTGTAGCTTCTCCTCAGGGTGAAGCCCAGAGACTGAAGACCCGTCGAGTGACGCGCCAACTTCAGAATACGCAAGATCCTCATGATACGGAAAATCTGAACCACGCGGCGGACGTTCTGAAACTGCAGGACACTCTTGTTCGATTCTGTGAGGAAGATGGTGACATAGTACGGCAGGATGGCCAGCAGGTCAATGACGTTCAGAGGACCCTTGAAGAACTTCCACTTGTTGGGGGACGAGAGGAAGCGGAGCAGGTACTCCATGGTGAACCAGGCGATGCACACAGCTTCCACGTGAGCCAGTTGCGGGTTGTCTGTGGGGTGACCAAACTCATCGGTGTCCTGCAGCTCCGGGAGGGTGTTCAGAGACAAGGCGATGGTGGACAGAACAATGAAGAGGATGGAGATGATTGCTAGGATCTGAAAAACAAACAGAACAACAGACAAATGAAACGTTATAAAGTAGGAAAGAGTAAAGATATCTGTGTTCTAGAGGTACTGTTCGTATGGTCCAGCTCCAAAGTATGGAGATGTGTTCTTTGAGGGTGAGACTACCAGCAGGTGGCAGCGGCGGCTAATGAAACTAGGAGTTAGTGAACTGAGTTTTTAACAATTTGGATTTATATTTCAAATTGGAGCTGACTGAAGTTGTTGTTACTCAGATGAATTCTGAACAAAGGGTTGGCAACATGGATTCAAGACCCAAAAAATATCTAAACTTAAATAAATCGGATTAATGTTTACGCTGAGGTGGGAATCGACCATGTGACAGAGAGACTTTTTCTCTGGTCATCTGGTGAAGGTCCACGTGTTCTGCTACCTCGCCGTTGTGGTTTTGTGGCTAACCGAGTCCCAGTGAAAGGAAGGGAGCAGCTTGTAAACCAATACCTCCACCTCTGGTAGGACGTGAGACTGCTGGACACTCAGGTTCCTCAGGACACAGTGACATCCTTACAGTTCTGGAGGACAGGGAGTCTTCACAGGAAATGTGAGGTTGTAGTTTGTAAGTAAAAGTGGTGGATTAGCCCTGCGACAGGAGGACGATGTGGTTCAGGATTAATATGTCCAAAGAAATCGTACTTGGTTTCTGAATGTTTAAGGTTTTACAAATGACTTTTCTTGTTACTTAAAATAATGTTGGCGTCTTTGACCTTTTTTTTATCCCAGAGGCAGCCTGTCAGTGTGAAGGTGTTCGGCCAAGATAGCTGGTAATGTTTGGACCAAAACTTTTCAAGGTTGTATTTAAAATGTATTTCTTAGTAACAGACAGGAAGTCAGTCCTGTCAGGGAGTCTCATTGTGTCAAAACCGATATTTCCAAAAATGTCGGCCGATGGCCTTTAGAGTGCTGACATTTTCTGTCTTTATTAGCCGCTGTCCCCTTGTCAAGTTAGAAATTCGTGGGTCAGAGCTAATGCGATCTCCAGGGCAGGTGTTTTCCCAGTGGTCATCAAGTATTAATGCAGGGAGGTACAACACTGACCAACGGTGGGGACGTGGGGGAGGACGGAGACGTGAAGTACATTTGAGTTGTATTGGCATGTTCCTTCAAAAGTACATAGAGCAGTGGAGAGAATTACACAGGTTGAACAGAGTGTTCTTGGACAGTAAGACAGACTGACATTCTACTGGAGGTCTGTGACACACACACACACACACACACACACACACACTGAGCCGCCTGCTTATCATATAATCTGTGCCCGGGATTAATAAGGGCTGCGTGGCCGGGGATGTACAGGTGTGTCACACCCATTCTTTCCGTCTCTGAGTCAACGCAAAATCCAACACAAGGTCACAGTGGAGCGGAGTCTGTGTCCCGGGCCAGTCGGAGGCAGGATTAGTCCCAGGCACCGATCACCAGCCCGTTTGGTTTGATTAATGCTGACAGGTGACTGGCTGTGCGCCCACGCTGCCCTTCCTGGACCGACTGCAACTGCCTTCTGTTGTGGATCCCATGAGATGAACAAGATGGATGACCACTTTCAAACGACCCATTAGTGGTAGATTTATTGTTGATTATAATTGTTGACCAGCCCCTTAAGAGAAGATAAAGATTCACGTTAAAGTGGAGCGAAGGTCAACGTAAAGGCTGAGGTCGGGGACGCTATTTTTAGTCATATCGTGAGGAAGTTGATTAAGGAAAAGGAGGATACCAGGGGAGCTGAAAAATGGGGATTTTTGTTTCAGGAAACTTTTATTTAAATCTCACTGCGAGCAGCGGCATTCCGAGGGAAACTAGAGCCAACGGTTTCCATCTAAAAATAGCCTGCGAGGCTAACTGGCTAACTGATCACGCCGAACACTAAACGACAGCACGACGGTTAATGAACCAAGGAGCTGCTGTCGTTGTTGTTGTGTCTCTACCTACCGCCACCTCCTGGCTGATACTCCTCTATCCCACTGTGGTAACGTGCCAACCTGAGGTCAGTTAAGGAGGAGATTAAGGGACTGTGACACAAATAGTACCGTCGGCAGACACTGACGAGTCTGTGACACAGAGGAAAATGAAGAGGAAGTGGAACTACGGAACGGAAATAATACGACTTTTCCTGGGTACGGCGCCGTGATGTCATCGTCTCTCTCTGTGTGTGTGTGTGGCTGCCGGGCAGAGGAATGTGCCTTAACCACAGATGGGTGTGAACTTATTCAGAATACTACATCGGAGCGCCGTAGCGTCGTATTACCTCATTACCTCTTAACGACAACGTATTGAGGTTACCAGGCTGCCACGCCTCACTTCCTGTGAGCATAAACTGAAACAGCGGTCACCTGTCTTGGCCCACACACACACACACACACACACACACACACACACACACACCATTAAGTCTACAACAACCAGATACACACACACACATTACATATTTATTCCCATCTCAACAATTAGCCTCGAACCAGCGCCCCCTAGAGGCCACTCGGCGAGAGAGTGAATATTTAATGTCCTCCTGAAGTGCAAGCTAGGTATGTGTGTGTGTGTGTGTGTGTGTGTGTGAATGGACCGATCACCAGGCCATGACAGACTGCAGAGCCCAGTTTTTTCACGCTAGCTTAGCTATCCTCTCTGCCTGAGCTAAAGAAAGCTGCAGAGACGGGGGTTTTCTCTCGACACGTTTTTTTTTTTTTTTTTTTTACAAGTATAAAAATTACCTGTGTGTGTGTGCCTCGACACGTTGTGACTAAGAAAGATTCTTCACACTTTTTAAAATTTTTTTTAAATTTTTTTTATCAAAGAGTTTAATTAACGTGATGGATGGTCTAAGTTCATTTGTGTCGCCGTCTTTCTCTTTCCTTTTGTCATTTTTTTTTATTCCATTCAACCTGGTTTATCATCTATTTTGTCAAAATATCATCTATTTTTCTCTGGTTCTATTTGTGTCTGTTTCAAATCGGTGGAAAAGGAGCCGGACGGCTGCTTTCACACCGATTTGAACCAGACAAAAAACTTAGATTTTCATATAAAGTTTTCACATTCAGATTTCTCGCTAGCTTTGAATTTTTTATTTTTCATTTATCATATATACATATATACATATGTATATATCTACATATATACATATATGTATGTATATACGTATATATGGGTATATATACATATATGTATATATACACATATATATGTGTATATATACATATATGTATATATACACATATATATGTGTATATATACATATATGTACATATATGTCTATGTACATAGACATATATGTACATATATGTATATATACACATATATGCGTATATATATACATATATGTACATATATGTCTATGTACATAGACATATATGTACATATATGTATATATACACATATATGCGTATATATATACATATATGTACATATATGTCTATGTATATAGACATATATGTATATATGTGTATATATATATATATATATATGTAGATATATATATGTAGATATATATATATATATATGTAGATATATATATGTATTTAAGTGTTATTCTGATCATGTTCAGTCGACTAATATAAACTGAATGGTTGAGGATGTTTGGAAACGGTACTGTTTTAATGAGTCAGTGTTTTTTTCCCCTGGTGATCAGTGTCTATGTGGGTCACCTTTGCTGGTTACCTTCTGCTCAGGCACTGCATCGGCTTCAGCTGTGTTTGCCTACAGCTGAGTGCGATCAGCCTGATGCTGAGGCTATATAAGCAGCCTGTGTGTCACACTTCTGTTTGGCTGGTGTGAGAGAGTGTGTGTGTGTTGATGAGTGAAGAGTTTTTACTTGTGTTGTTTTGTGGTTTATGTTGAGCAAAAGTTGCACAATTGTATTTTGTTTTGTTTGTTTTGTTTTTGCTCTGTTTCCTCCTCTTGGTCATAAACACCTCCTGTTGAGTGGGTGTTGAAGAGAAGTTTTAATTTTGTGGGATTTCTGGTGGAACTTTTGTCATGTTGTTTTTTTTTTTGGGGGGGGGGGAATTCAACTTTAAATCGAGGCCAAAAAATATGAATTACAAATCTCCTAACACCTGCAGATAAACTCCCCCACACGTTAAAGTCTTTCGATGGAATCAACAGATTTTTTTATTTTTTTATTTTTTTACCTGTTCCGTTTTCACACTGGAGCTTAATATAGTATTCTCTACGCAGCGAAACTATTTTTGTTCCACATTTCCATGAACTCTGCAGAGTAAATGTGCACTCCCTCCTCTGCACTACTCCACTTCAAGTTGCTGGTTTAAATCCACAATGAACTGATTTAGAAGCAAAGTCGTATAAACTACTCTGGGTTGTGTTCCGTGCGTGGACAAAAACTTTAAAATTCTTGTTTCTTTCACCAGACCTGCAGTCTCGCTCATGAATCGTTCCATGTTTTTTTTTCAAGCCCTGTTTTTACCTGTTGTCATACCTGTTCACTACGTTACGACGGTTGATAAACAGACTGAGGCGCTGCCTCAAGGTTTGATCGCTTACATGTGGTGAAGACAACGTACAGTTTTTACGGGGGAGATGAAAAAACATGTCACATTCTTATCGCACTGATCACCTGACGTGTAGGTATCAGTTTAGCAATCGCACGAAACTATCGCAATCTCCTTCTGAATGAGAACAAAGTGGGAACCGAATCCGCAGAGAATCTTAAATGAAATGTCAGCGTGAACAAAGTTGTATTTGTTGTGCTTTAACTACAAACACGATATTAACTAATACAGGAATATATTTGGGGTGAAAACGATACGATACAATACTCTTCAGATGTACTCGCTAAAAAGTAACACTTTTGACTTTTTGACTCGGGGGAGGTCGACTTGTGCCAGTCACGTTTATGAACTGTTTTTCCCTAC